TGCGACGCGGGGCTCGGGCGCCCGAGCTGCGGCGCAATGGCGTTCCGCCCCGCGTCTCGAGACAACCCATTATAAGGGTGTTACGCGGTTGAAACTTCCAAGAACTTTGCCACGCGTAGCAGGAAGCCTCGCACACGAGCTAGGTTCGCAAACGAGTCACATACATGTGCAAGAGCACGGTGCCCTTGAGCTCCGGCGTTGTCGTGATTGCGGTAGCGTTGGTTCTAATCAGATCATCTAGTTAAGACAAGTTTGCAAACGAAGGGTCGCGCCCTCTGGAGTTGAGTCTATAGACGGCATTCCCCGCGGGCATTGGCCAAAGGTCCCGGGCAGCAGAGCAAGCGCCCAGACGCAAGATAACCCCCTTCTTCATCCGTTCTCGTTAATTTTAGCCAGCGCGGACCCCGAACAGCGTGTTCTTAGCCACGTATATTTTGCCAAATAGGTGGAGCAATCTACGCGATGTAACAGACTACCCTGCACCGCGCTGGAACACCTCCACTGCTCTCGCAATCACCCCACCCACCCACCCGCAACTTGGTTTGCAAAATCCATGCGGTGGCGATTGCGATGGGTGCTCGACGTGGGCTGGTCCACCTGCGGCTGCACCAACCCAAGCACGCGCGCGCGCAGCGGCCAGCTAGTTCGGCGCGACCGTCGCGGCCGCGGCGGCGCTGGCCGCTGGACACATCCAAGCGGGCACTTCAGCGCGAGCCGGTGACTAGGACGGGCGCGGTATCATGGCAACGTTGACAACGGTAGACACGATGAAGATAGTAGCAATGTTGGTGACGATGTTGACAACGATGACGGCGCGGCCAGCGCGGGCGCCGATGCTGATCACGCCGACGACGACGACGGCGTCCTCGCGACGGCGATGAAGGCATTGGGAAGAGTTCGACACGCGCGCGTGGCCGACGCGCGAGAGTGGCCCGCATGTTTTTCTTCGACGCGGATCGTTCCCCTCAGCACGCGCGCAAGGGCGCGCGAATGATGTCGGCATGCAGCGCTAGAGGCCAGTTTGGCCGAATTCCATGCGTTTGTCTGAAACATATGGTTTTCTTAAAACTTCGCAAGAGCGCGAGCCTGGGGAAACTGAGTTTGCGAATCCACGGGTCGTTTGTAGATGATTTTCGGGCGCTCGATGTTGAGACCGGCACGCAAGACATGCGCGCGCGACGACGAGCGCGCGCGCACTTCGCCCCATCGCAAATCCATTGGTTTTTTTTTAAGCGCCCCGCAGTCGCGGATAAGAATGAAGAGGCGGTGGGGACGCGTGCAGTCTGCGGGTCGGTCGCGGGGCGGGCGGGGCGCGGGCGGGTCGCGGGCGGGTCGCGGGGCGGGCCGCGGGCGGGTCGCGGGCGGGTCGCGGGAGGGGCGACGCAAGAAAACATGCGGAATTTTCGCCGTGGGTCCCCACTTCAGCCGCGCACCCACACAGTGAATGACCGTTTGCCCACCTCACTCAGATATGTTTTTGGAGCACTCAATTTTGAAATCTTCATGGGGCCCCAGGTTTGCAACGGATTCCGGCATGCGCGCGTGGCCGCGCGCGCGTGCACTTCGTTGTAGTTTTTGAAACGACGGTTGAAAACTGCAGATTTGTTGATAAGCGGGTGCGAGCGCATTTTTTTGCAGAGGATGGCGGGGGGTGGCGGGCACTGGTTCGGCTGGGACGATCTGAATTTAGATTCAGGATGGAGGATGGGGCAGAATCACATATCAATTGCAATGCGAAAAGGGCGGGGGATCATCCCAGGGGGGTACAGTTTATTTTTAAAGCAAGGGGAAGTTATACGAAACACTTAGAACTGACGACCCGCATAATGGCCACTTCGTGCGAATCGCCCCACCCGCCCACCCGCAAATGGGATTGCCAAACCCATGCGGCGTCGATTGCGATGAGTGCTTGGCGTTGGCTGCGGCATCTCTGCGGCCGCGCTAGCCCGCGCATGCTCGGGCCCGCAAGTTTGGCGCGACCGACGCGGCCGCGTTGGCGCTGGCCGCCGGGCAATTCCCAGCGGGCACTTCAGCCACTTTGTGACTTGCGCGGGCGCGATATCATGGCGACGTCGACGCTGGTTGGCGCAATGATGATCGCAGCGATGCCGGCGGCGACGACGACGACGACGACCGCGGCAAGGACAATGGCGGCTCCGATTCCGATCACGCCGGCGGCGACGGCGGTCTTTGCGTCGACGATGAAGGTTGGAAGGATTCCGACGCGCGCGCGGCCGACGGGCGCGAGCGGCCCGCGTGATGTTATTTGACAGGGACTGCCTCCCCCCAGCACGCGCGCACGGGATTTCGAATGATTCGGACACGCGCCGGCGCGAGGCGTGAGATTCGGCTGTTTTCTTTATGTTGTTTGTTTCTTCTGCGTTCGCAAGGGCGCGCGCGCGTGTGTTGAAAGAGAGCGAAACTATGTTTTTTGCACTAGATGTTTCGGGGCGCTCGAACGATTTCGATATGCCCGCACGAGAGGCACGTTTGGTCGCACGTTATGGACACGCTGAGGAAAAGCCGACGGTTGCTTTGATAATTTGCAGGAGCGCGAGCGCGTGCTTTGCTGGAACATTCCGGCTACGACACCATTGGCTTTCAATGTTTTTATCGGGGCGCTCGGTTTTGAATTCTTTACGAAGTTGCAGGTTGCCGGCGGATCTCGGCACGCGCGCGCGACGACGCGCGCGAGCGCATTTCGCCCCATTTGTCGCAGAGGATTATTGCGACAGCTGCGCGGAAGGGAGTCCGAGTCAATCCGGCAGGCGCGCGCGAACGCGAGCGCGTGCTTCCTTGCAACTTCGCGCAGCGGAGCAATGTGTTCTTGATATCCTCTGGCCTCTCGACTTTCGAAATTGCAAGTTGTTGTTTGGTAACTCCGGCATGCGCGCGCGACGACGCGCGCGCATGTCGCCCAATTTTGTTCAAAAGATTTTCGAAAACGGATGATTTAGCACGCGCGCTTTTTTTGCAGGGTTTGAGGGAGGGTGATAAGGGATTTTTTTGGATGGTATAGTCTTATTTCGGATGGACGGTGAGATAGAATCCCACGTAACCTGCAATGCACGAATTCTAATGGTTAAGTCCAGGGGAAGGGGGGAATTGATTTTTATATTCAGTCAGGAAGGAAAGCCTACGTGGTGCACGCCACCAGTGCTCGCAGTAAGTTGCCAACCCCACTGCTCGCGAAATCATCCCACTCACCCACCTGCACCCTGGCTTGCAAAACCCATGCGGCTGCGATTGCGCTCGGCGCTGGCTGGCGCATCGCTGCCGCCGCGCTAGCCCGCGCATGCTCGCGCGCACAACGGCCAGCAAGTTTGGAGCGACCGACGCAGCCGCGGTGGCGCTGACCGCTAGGCATTCTCCAGCGGGCACTCCAGTGCGAGTCGGCGACTTGGGCGGCGTTGTATTATGGCAACGCCGACAACGATTGACACGATGATGGTGGTAGCGATGCCAGTGACGATGGTGACAACGACGACGGCGCGGCCAGTGACGGCGTCGGCGCTGAAGTTTGTGGAAGGACACCGACATGCGCGCGCTGCCGACGCGCGAGCATGGCCCGCGCAGTGTTGTTCGACACGGGTCGCGCCCCCATCCCAGCAAGCGCGCAAGGGCGCTCGAATGAGTTCGACATGCGGCGCGAGAGACCCGATTGGCATTAGTGGATGCAAAAAGGGGAAGAACCGATGCTTGTCTAAACTCGTAAGATCGCGAGCGCAAGGTTCTGTTGTTTATGATTTCCTGGCGTTGCCAAGCCATGCGTTGCACATGTTTTTTGGGCACCTGATATGGACGTCTTGACGAATTCTGTAGTTTGTGATAGATTTCGGCATGCCCGCGCGACGGCGCGCGCGCATTTCGCCCCAGCTATTGCAAAAGAGTTTTTGCGTCAGCGCACGCGCAAGCGAGTGCTTGCGATTTCGACGCGCGCGCGAGAGGTCCGTTTGGTAGCATGTTATAGACATGTTGGCAAGCCGATTTTTTCTTGTTCGGTTGAGACGAAATCGCAAGAGCGCGGGCGCCGGCGTTGTTTTGAACATGTGTGTTGCGAACCATGTGTTTATATGGTTCCGCTTGTCCGGGGCACTCGACATTGCGAGATCCAAAGATTCTCATTGATTCAAACATACGCGCACGACGACGCGCACGTGTGTTTTGTTTACAAAGGGCGCTTGGCAACCGATGGTTATTGATAAACGACTGTGCGTGCATAGTTTGTTTTGCAGAGTTTGGGGGGTGCCAATCAGGCTGGGAGTATGCGATCTCACGTTCAGGATCAACGATTCGCAGAATCAAATGTAAAACCACTGGGAGCTGATTCGTCAGTTTTGAAAGCTCATTTGTTTGAAAATATTGCAGCCGTTCCACTGGCGGAAAGCGGTCCCTGTTCAAACTGTGGCCCTCGTCTTAGCGCTGCGTTCATTCGTCGTGAAAGTTCGCTGCAGCCTCACGGATGGAAGGCGGATCCCCTTCGAAATGCGGTTCTCGCTATACCGCCACGCATTTTCATTTCAGACTGTCACAACCGCTTGAAGGATTCGTACGAGTGAACTCCTAGGAAATGTGTAATGACATGGTTCCGGATTGTCAGGACGCAATAATTACATTGGTTCGTTGTGTTAGAGTCCCTGGAACGATGGTTTGGCATTACTGGGGGCTGACAGGACGCAGCCGTCACGTTGATTCGAAGCGTTAGACGGCCCAGATTGGATTCGTAATCCGAGGATTGAGGAGAATCAGACGTTTGCCTTCTTAGGTGCATCTCCCACAGAGATGAAAGATGATTGTAGAGACCTATGAAGTGGGACTTTGGAGGGAAGAATGATTGCAACATGGTGGGTGCGGTTTGTGTTCATACTGGTCTTCCTCCTCCTCCTCACCATGACCATCACCATCACCAACGTCCTCTTCGGTCACCCATCAATCTCGTTCTATCCCTCCCCCGCCCATATCACTTCCACCCATTTCCCTGTTCATCCCCCACTGTCCTCCTCATTGTCCGTTCCTTCTCATTCCGCATCCCACCCCATCCCCGTCTCCAACCTATCTCCCATCTTCTCCATTGCTGTTTTAGCTCCAGGTATTTGGCTTTTTTCTCGGACGCCGAAGCTGTGATTGTTCATTGCTCTTCACAGCATTGGGGCCTTGCCCGCTAGAAGCGTATCGCCCCATGAACTCCATACCGGTGTCGTGTGGGGGTGGATCCCAAGCGGAATCGAAGCTGCACGGGGACGAGACGGGGAAGCCGGCGGTGCCACTCCGCTCGATGGATTATGTCTGTCTATACGCAGCTTTTCTCTTGGTCGGTTGCGGCTCAGGCTGGCTGTTGTGCAACGGCATCTACGCCGGTTTCGGAGCGAACTACGCAAGTGTGCAAGACTCAAATTTCTTCGGCGCTACCACGCTGATTCAGGGTTTCTTATCTATCGGGCTTGCTTTGCTGTATCCAGGTGCCTGCGGCAAATTCCGCCACCTTTGCTTGCTAGTCACCCTTGCGTGCTGCTTGTCCTGGTCCTTGTGGAAAAAACCTTGCCACGGGCAAGGGACCCTCGGACGGACTGGGTGGGCAGTGCACGCGGAACTGCTTTACCGGGAAGGCGGACGGGGGGGCTTCACAAGATTGACAGATCATTTACCAGACAGCATTTTGCATTTTATTGTAGCCTGTCCACATCGTGCAGGCATGGTAGCGTATTTACTGTTCACCGCCCTCAGACCCGACGGACTGTCGAAGCGCGGCGCCCAATTGGGGGTCGGCGCTCTGTGTTTCCTGACTGTATGCGGCCAGGCCGTGCTGGCCTGGGCTTGGGACGTGCGGGACGCCGAGGGCAACTACCCCGCCCTCCTGCTGGTGTTCGCCTTCGGGCTCGTGGTCGCGACGATGACCTCCTTCGTCGCCTACCCCCTGGTGACCACGAGCGACGAGCACGACCCTCGCCATGCCCCCGACGGTCGGGACCGCCGAGGCGCGATCCCATGGATGCCCTGCGCGCGAGGCACGTGCGCAGGGCCCTCCCGCCTTCCAGCTTGGCATCGCTCGGACGTGTGCATTTTTCCTTCGGCGAGAAAAACCAGGCACGAAACCGAAAAAAACAGGGAATGGACGTCCGAGCGATGGCGAGCCAGAGGGGTCGCTGCCGAGCGATGCAGACCGCGAGGGCGTGCACGCGGGCACGCCCCCCCCCGAGGTGACCGTGCACTACGGCGGCCGGCTCATCGCGCCCTTCCGGGCGGGCACGGACCTGTCGCAGATGCTCTGCGCGCTGCTCTCGGAGGCGCAGGCCCCCATTGGCTGCAACTCCCGGGAGGCTCTCCACGCGGCATCGGCGCGCTGGTACACCCCTGGCCAGAAAGTCCGACCAAAAGTTTGAGACTCCAGCCGTGTGGAGCTGGTTCCCGAAGATCCGACCTCGCAACAAGAAAGCCCTCCTCCTCCTCCTCCTCCTCCTGCTCCTCCTCCTCCTCCTCGTCGGGGATTTTGGCTTGGCGTGTCGTGCGGCCAGATGTTCTGGCGCCCACCATGCCTCGGCGCGGCGCGGCGTGCACGCTGCCACTCCCGAGCGCCAGCGCCCCGAGCTGCACCCGGACTCCCGCCCCGCGGAGCGGAGCGACGCACTGTCCGCTTTCAAGGCACAGCGTGTCGTCGGGGCCGCCGACGCGACACGCTGAGCAAGAGAGCTCGCAGCCGCAATCCTGACTGCTACTCTGGCCGAATCCCGCTTCCTCTGGCTCAGTCTTGGACTCTAACCCGATCTGATCCGGCTCAGTGGCCCCTCGCTCAGGCCGAGAGGCACCTATATCAGGAGGGGACAAGGCACACAGACACAATCAATCGTCGACCCCCAGGAAAATATGGGAAATATGGGAAGTGGGGGGAAGACGAAAACCCCGGAAATATATACATATATATATATATATATGAAAATATTGGGACTCCTGGGAGTTGTGTCTGTTTATTTGTGTGTCCCAGAGCCCCTTTCCTATACCCTGGTCCGTGCGGAGACCTCCCAGGAGTCGCCTCCGGAGGCCCCTCGGGGCGCGGGGGGGCCGCTCCTGTTCCCCTCGTGGGTGCTGCAGGTCATGGGCGAAGAAGAGACAGCCGCGACCACTGGGCCGAGGGAACCGCCGCCAGCGCACCCCACTGAAGGCCAGCTGGACGCGCCGACCCGCCTGCGGTGAAGACCTGCGCGCGGCACTTGCGGACGGGCGCCGCGCGCAGCTCATCACCGCAAGGGGCGTCGTGGTCGCCGCTGGGCCCATGGGGCACGCGCCCAGGGGGTTGCGTCCTTGGCCCAGCGGTCGTGGCTGTCGCCTCCTCGGGTGGGAAGGAAAACACATCGATACCGCGATCCCCCTCTGGGATGCGTCCTGACCAGGGTTCCGGGGCGAGTCCAGCCGTCGCGACGACGGCCTCCGAGGAGGCTCCACACATGCGAGAGCGAGGCAGGGATACGGTAGGTTCGTGTCGTGTCGACGCGACAGCGGCCCCACCGCGGGCGTTCGAGGTTACACGCCGCCAGGTGCCCGGAGTCGGCCAATGTGGAACCGTTGACAAGCCCCCGACCGTTCAAGGTTGAACGGTCCACGCCGTGTCGGAAACCAGCTCACGACCGCACACGGGAGGAGGAGGGAGGAGGTCGAAGATGAGGCGAGCGAGGCTGAGGAGGAGGAGGAGGAGGAGGCGATCGAGGAGGAGGAGGAGGAGGACCAGTGTAAACCCAAGACCCATCAACGACGTTGCAATCATCTCTCCCCCCAAGATTCCTCTCCAGAGCTCCCTACAAGAGCTCCTTCTCATTGAGGGAAGTGCCCCGTTACAGGACAGCTATTTGAAAATCCAAGACTGCACCAGAAGGTTATTCGTGGGATTAAAACGTCGCGAATCACCGTTACTGTTGCGTCTTGACGGTCCTGAATCGTGCCAGAACGCCACGCCCAGGATTTCAACACCGCGAGTCAACCTCACTGTTGCGCCCTGACACTCCGATATCGTGTTGAAACTGCATTTCTCTGACCTTAGTCAGGAGAATCTTTGGAACTACTACAACTGTTTTAGACGAATGCGCACGGCGTTAAGGCGAGATCCACATTTTGAAAAGGAGCCGCCCTCCATCCGCAAATTCTTGCTTTTGCTGTAAAAAATCCATGTGCGCGGCGCTAACGCGAGAGCCACATATTGAAAACGTGCCGCCCTCTATCTGAGAAGCTCTTGAACATTGCGCGGCGCGAAGGCGAGAGCCGCATTTTGAAAACAACCCGCCCTCCATCCGTGAAGTGTTTGCAAGTGTATTAACACGAAAGTGCGCGGCGCGAAGGCGAGAGCCGCAATTTGAAACTGACCCGCCCTCCATCCGTGAAGCTGCTGCGAATTCGCAGTTGCAGGATCGTAAATGGTGAGGAAGTTTCAGAAGGAACGCCCAGCCCGCCCGTCTGACCAGCCTCGGGGCGCGGGGATGGAGCGGGAGGACGGGACTAGGTGGGAGGAGGAGGCGGAGGAGGTGATCGAGGAGGAGGACGGGTGGATCCTCTCGACACGAACTTGCCAGGGTCGTCACGGCACGAACTTGCCGTAGAAGTATTGGTATTGTTCCCTCCTCCCAGGTGCTGTACGCCGCGCTCGCGGCGGCGGGGCTGGCCTCGTGGATGCCGTGTGCGGGAAATCTATCCGTATTCACGGCCTCGCGGGCTGGGCCCTTGTCGGCCACGAGCGAGGGGGAAAGTGAGAAGGAGGAAGCCTTCTCAGAACGCAACGGGGCTTCTCAGAAGCCCTCTGGCCTTCCGAGAAGTTTTCTGTGTCGTCGGGGACGGCCTAGAGTATTTCTCAGAAGGCCAGAAGACTTCCGAGCCTTCTGGGAAGGCACGCCCACTCTCACTTCCTCCCCAGGCTGGTCGCCAACCCTGGGCCGCGACCCCACGGATGCGAGGCGCTCTTTCGCGGATGCCCCGCGCGGAGCGTTCTAGTGCGACCGCGTTTCCACCGGAACGCGCCCCAGAATCCAGACCGCGGGGGCGAGGCGATAGACACGATCGCCGCGCCAGAGGATGGACGAAACCAGGAGATACCGATACCGCTACTCCCCGGTCCTCTCCCGGGGTGCGTTCTGACCAGGATTTCGAGGCGAATCCAGCAAGGGCGATGAGGGTCTCCCAGGAGGCCCACAAGGGGAAAACCAGACAAGGGTAACAGCATCGTTACTCCGGATTCCACCATTATCAGGGGGGTGGTCTGATTTGGGGGCGTCTGACTGAAGCCGTGTTGGAGGTTTTTTTTCGGGGGGGGCCTGGGCAAGAGGCCGCTCTTGCATGGCTGCTCTGGGGGAGGGGTCTCGAACTGCTCGTCTGGGAGGGCTGTGACCCCCTCCCCTTTTTATCACGACAGTTGCAGTGCCTCCTCCTCCTCCTCCTCCTCCTCCTCCTCCTCCTCCTCCTACTCCTCCTCCTCCTCCTCCTCCTCCTCCTCCTCCTCCTCCTCCTCCTCCTCCTCCTCCTCCTCCTCCTCCTCCTCCTCCTCCCTCCTCCCTCCTCCTCCCGAAGGATGGGCGTGGTCGGCAGCGCCGCGGGCCTGCGGCGGCCCGAGGCGCAGCAGCCCGAGCCGCGCGGGCCCCCCTCGAAGGCGGAGGCCGCTCCGGGCGGCCGCCGCGGGCGGCTGCGCGGCTTCGCCTGCCCGGCGTCGCTGGCGTGGCCGGTGCTGCTCGGTGGCGTCGTGACGCAGGCGATTCGGAGGCGTCGGTGACGCTGACGACGGCGACGGCGGCGGCGACGACGGCAACGGCGACGACGGCGACGAGGACGACGGCGACGACGACGACGACGACGACGACGGCGACGACGACGGCGACGACGACGACGGCGACGACGACGACGACGACGACGGCGGCGACGACGGCGACGGCGACGACGACGACGATCACGGCGACGACGACGACGGCGACGGCGGCGACGACGACGGCGACGGCGACGACGACGACGACGGCGACGGCGACGGCGACGGCGACGACGGCGACGACGACGGCGACGACGACGACGGCGACGGCGACGACGACGACGGCGACGGCGACGGCGACGGCGACGGCGACGGCGGGCGGGCCCTCGCGGGCGCTCGTGGACGGGTGGCGGGGGCAATGAGCGGGCCCGGAGCTCCGACGGCAAAGAAGGTCTTGACGTGCGCCGTCGAGGGCGGGCAAGCTCGCCTCGGAGGGGGCCCGCTGGCGGTCGGAGACGGCGACAGGGGCGAAGAGCCCAGGGGCGGGCAGTACCTGTATCTTGGCATCGCTCGGACGTGTGCACTTTTCCCTTCGGCGAGGACCATCGAGGAGTATCCTTGATCATGTGGCGAAAAAACACGCACGAAACCGAAAAAAACACAGGGAATGAACGTCCGAGCGATGGCCAGGTATTCGCCTGGCTTTCGAATTCAAGCTTCGCGCGGCCCGCTCAGCTCCGAGCGGGAGAGGTGCGCTCTCGACCCGCGGGTCAAAAGCTGCATTCGCCCGGGAGCCGCGCCCAAGGCATGGGCCATCGGCGCCCCTGGATGCGTGCTTGCTCTCCCCTGGGCTATTCGCCCCCCTCGTCGCACCCGAGCGATCGTCGACTACGATCGCTGAGCGCGATGCGATAGCAGCGGCCTGAGGGCATGGATTCGGCCCCCTCGCGCCCCCCCTAAAGCCGCGCACCGCAGGTCACGCTTGCCCAGGGTCACTCTTTGCGTGTAGCCGACGTCATGACGCAAGCGATCGGAGCAGCGCAAGAACAATCAGAGGAGGAAAGGGTATCGATGGCGCTGCCTTCGTCGGTTTCATCCTTGTGGGTCTCTTCGGATGGGAGGCCCTCGTCGCCACGGCTGGATTCTCATCGAGAGTCTGGCATAAGGCACCCTGCTCGTGGCGCAGGCGAAGGGTGGAAAAGACCTTGAGATCTGGGCGTTGCAAGTTTTTCACACCAGGCATGTTCATCCGCGTTCGGACCCTCGGACCCTCACACATCGATCTGGATCGAAACATGCGGCAGAAAGATTGGATCCAGGGATGCGGTCGTGATTTGTTGCGATGTTGGTATTTCTCGTGCCGCTGCTCGTCCTGGAGATCCCTCGTCGCCACGGCAGATAAATTTATCTTCGAAGCTTTGGCCTCACAAGGTGTTCAGGCGTCGCTCTCGCCTCCATGCCGCCCGCATGGCTGGCCCAGACGACCACGATCCATTGCAAAGAGGACACTACGGTGCACGTGACCGTGCTCGCACCCCTGTCGGGTTTCCGTTGCTGCGATGATCAGTTTTTGTCCGCAACGTCGGAACTTAGTGGATACCGATACCGCTAATGATTTGTCCTTGAGATCCCTCGTCGACACGGCTCGATTCTCATCGGAACCCTGGTCAGAACGCGCCCTTGGAGCGGTCCGGGGAGTAGCAGCACCGGCACATTTTCCCCACCCCACGGCGGGGTCCAGCGCCGAGCAGAGGAATCCGCGCGGACCTCCGGAGGTCTCTGCTCATACCGTCTGTTCTCTCTCCAGGTGAACCTCTGGGCACTGACGGTCCCGGTGGGCAACAGCTCGGCCCGGATGACCGACCCGGAGTCGTGCGGTGGCGATCAGGCAGCCGTCCTGTACAAGGTGGGCCTGACGCTCCAGTACTGCCTGGCGCTCGGGCCGGGAGAGGATACGGTCAACCCGCACGGCAAGGATGGGCAACCTTCTCTAGGGTACCCCTGCATCCTTGCCTCCTCGGTCCATCCTTGGCCACGTTCGTTGGCTGCGCCCTTCCCGAAAAGCTTCACAATGGGCGCCCAAGGCCCTTGCATCCTTGTCGCGCATCCTTCCTATACTGGTTGACTGTACCGGCACCGCCTCCCCGCAGTCGTTCTCGCCCTGTTGGGGCCGTCTTGGAGGCCCTCGTCGCCACGCGTGGATTCGCCTCGAGGTTCTGGCCAGCAGGCACCCCAAGAGAAAGGTCTGTGGAGTAGCGGTATGGGCACCTCTTCCTGCTCCCCGCAGGTGCGCCTGATCCCGGGGCTTTGCCCTCTCTTGGCCTCGACGTGAGGCCCCTCCTGTTTCCCTTCCTCTGTTAATTAAAGCTGTGCGCGGCCCGCTTAGCTTCGACAGGAAGAGGCTCGCTCTCGCTCTCGACCCGCGGATCAAAAAATTGTCCCCCGCAGGTGCCCCTCGCCTCGCTGCTGTCCAGCCTCGCCAGGTGCCCGCGGCCTCTCTTCTACGGCCTCTTCGCGCTGCAGTGCGCGTGCGTGGCCGCCGTCTGGCTGAGCCTGCTGGGCGTGGGCCGGGAGGCCCTCTGGCAGACGGCACCGGGCCGCACCGTCTGGTGCGCCGCGTTCGCCCTGATCGGGGGCCTGGAGGGCTACCTGCTGACCATGACCTACCGCTACGTCGGGGACGACCCCGGGCTCGCCGCCCACCTCCGCGACGGCGCCTGCCGCCTCATGAGCTGGGGCGGCGTCATGGCCACCAACCTCCTGTCGCTCGCGATCGGCATCTGCATTC